CAATGTTGGGAAAAAAATATTTTGTTTGGTAAACACAACACTGGAGTAATTGAAATTCATTAGCATTTTATTACCGAATAGGCCCGACACAAATTATTATCACATTATTTGAAAGGAAGTAACTCTGTAAATGTATAGGGACAAAAGGCTGGACAAACCAATTCATTCTGGCGTTATAACACAGAGGTTTTGTAAATTGTTTCGCATTGTGGGACCGAACAAGCACTTCAATGTGGGCTCTACTGGCTCTGTTGTGAAACAAACTAAAATTATTCAATTGAACTGTAACATAATGCTGGGAAAAAAATTGTATCCGGTAACATGGCACTGGAGTAATTCAAATTGATTAGCATTGTATTACCGAACAGGCCAAGCACAAATTAAACAAACATTGTTTAGGAGAAAGTGGCTCTGTGAATGTATAGCAACAAAATGCCAGAGAGATCTATTGTTTCTAGCAATTGAATACCGGAAAAGTATGGGTGTAAAGAGATGGGTTTTGAAGATTTTTTTACCTTAGGGTTTGTTTTGGTAATATATTGAGTGTAATGAGAATCTAATATTTTTTTTAGTGGTGTAATGAGATGGAGGGTGTAAAGAGGTAAAAGAGTGGTGTAAGTAGAATCACTCTTTTTTTGTAATACAATTACTACACTTGCAAAATATTAACTTCTAAAACTACCCTTTGTTAGTACAATTATTACACTTCACGAATATGAATGTCAATGAATTTAAAATAAGAACAAATAGGAAATTCATATTATTTTAATCCTTAATTTTTGAAAATGGATTAATATTTTGAGATAATGAAAAATGGAATAAGTGATTAATATTTTGGGATATAGAGAGTAAGTGGTGGTTGTATGTTCAAATCGCCCAGCTTTAGGTTTAGTAAACGAATTAGGTTTAATAATGAGTTTTGTGGAATAATTAAATCTCATAAAATAAATGACGAGTAGAGTCCAATCACTTGATTGGGTAAAATGAGGTGCATCAAGTAATGACCTTCTCCCTTTTTACCTAAGTTATCGAATTGATATGCTTGGTTGTGACGGACTAGCGTCTATGCTTAATTTTCATTGTTCAAGATTTCTTAGTTTTTCTTAAAAAATTAACTAGGGACTCTTGAACTCTTGAAAGCAAGTTGGTACAACATTGGGTAGAAATGTGTCTTATACTTAAAAAAGCATGACATCACTGGTGGAATTATTTTTAGATTTTAAACCAACCGTTAAAAAATACAAAATAGAAAAAAAAAAGAAAAAAAAAAGTGAACATACAACCCTATTTTAATTATAAATTAAAACAATTTAAATTTATTATTTATTTCAAATCTTAAAAGAAAAATCACAATTTAATCGAATGTATGACGTTATTCAAAATTACATTTCATAAATCATATATATTATTAAAAGTAATGTCATGGACCTACGGTTTTCGACCCCGCTAGAAAAAGTTCACTAGCCTTAGTCTGCGTCTTGGTGAACTTGACCTTTATTTTCACGGGTTCACCTGATCAATGTTGACCCTTAGGTTTGATAGTTGATTGGTTTCTTTTTAAATTTTTTTAACACTCCTACTACAAGTTATCTATCATTTCATTTATTATAATTGAATTAATAATACATATAAGTAATTGATTCAATAAACAAATACAATAATAATATATAAACTAATAAAATTTTTAGTACACAAATGTGATAATTATAACATTAAGGTTTAAAATGTGTGACTTAATTATTGTAATTAAAGTATGAAACACAGTAAAATTCGAATAAAAATTAAAGGATGAACAGTGTAATTTACTCTTTTTAACTTTATAATATCTGTAGGTCCAAACAATTAATGTCCAATTCAACTTATTCAAGCTCACAATCTTATTCTCAGTTAATTCAGGTACAAGAAATATTTCATTAATTAATGATGTTATCTATTGAAACTAATGTACTAGATAAGTTGGATTATGTAAGTTTATCAAAATTTTACAACTAGAATATGAAAGTGTAATGTTTAAATGATATTTTGCTATGAGGGACTGGTTTCTTTTTAGTCTCAAATAGGATTGGAGAGGTATTATTGGGCCCACTTTTGGACTCATTTTGATAATCCAAATCGTTTACATTTTAGGGTTTGTCGAATATATTATCCTTGCGAAAAATCAAGTCAATCGGATACCGGAAATAATGTGTTCAGATCAGTTTTGTATGAAAAAAATGGATAGTGAAAAAAATGTAGATTCATACAAAATTGATTTGAACACGTAATTTTTATTATCCGATCGACTTGATTTTTTGCAAGGGTGATATATTCAACGAATCTTAAAATATGAATAGTTTGGATCATTGAAGTAGGGCCCAAAAATCGGCCCACGAATCTTGCTTGATAACTTGGCTTTTTTAATAACTTCTTGATTTTTAATTTTTTTATATGGTGAAAAAAGTTAATATTTTTGGAATGATTATTTTAGTTAAATAGAGAATTGTGAGGAAAAAAAAATGATTTTCGTGTATGATATGACCTTTTAACTTTTTTAGTTTTTTTTATTTATTTATTTTTTAAAAACTATTTTAACCTAAAAAATTGATTGCCAAACTAACTTAGTATTATAGTTTTAAATTTTATTTAGTGTTTTTCTCCTTGTTGAAAGTTAATTTTTGCTAAATTATAAAGTAATAAGATTAAATTTATATCATTTTGAGTTCTTCGAAAAAAAAATTCATAGCTTACCCATAGTAAACTTGTTAGATATTACCAAATATATTTTTAAAGAAATCTTTGGTAGTTCGAAGTGAACTGTTTTGAATGGCTCAAAATTTGTGTTTACCAATCGACCTCCTGAACGATCGGCCGGATGACCACTTAGATAACCGGATGAAACATTTGTTTATCGTAGTTGTCACCTTGTTGACTGCGGCTGTCAGCCTTTTCGCTGGATGACAGGCCGGACAATCAGCAAGATGAAATTCGAGTCATTCAGGACAAGCTCAAATTCGAGCTGTGCAGCATTGCTCATATTTTTAATCAGCAATCACAATTTATTCACAAACTTTATATATATTAGGGTTTATTATACTTTCTACTCCTAAATTATTGTCAAATTGTCTATTTAGTCCCTAAAATATTGATTTAATCCATTAATGGTGTTTTGGGATGATGGTTAAAAACTGTTTTTTGACTTTTTTGTGAGAGAGGGAAGTGGGTTAAAAGCTGGGAAGTGACTTTTAACCCACTTCCCAAAATAGGCCAATGTCTCTAAATTATATAATTCAAGTCAATTTAGTCCCTAAATTATCGATTGAATGTATTAAACTATTGTCAACTTGTCTATTTAGTCTCAAAACTATTGATTTAATCCACTAAGGCTCTAAATTATATAATTAATGTCAATTTAGTCCCTGAATTATCGATTGAATTTATTAAGTTCCTAAAATATTTAATCTAAACCTATTTAATCTTTGAAAGGATTACAAAAATAAAATATAAGTTTAAAAGTATTATAAATTAGTAAAAGACCCTACTTAGTTGAAATTTTATTTAAAAAAAAAAACTTAAAATTTTTATTTTGTCTTTAAAAAGTGGGCATCAGCTCTTTTGGTGAATTTATTTTATAAAGGTAAGTGTAATTATCTATAGTATTTTTTTTTTTTTACATATCTTCTACAATGACTACTTACTTGCCTTTATTGAGAATTATATGCTGGATTTCATTTATAATTTTTAATTGATCATGTTTATATTTTTCGTTAAGTCATTTTTATAACTTAATTAAAGTATTATTATGTTCTATTATTGTTTGTAGCAAAATGTTATTTTTTAAATTTTCTGATTAAACTTTTTCAGTATATATAATACTCGTATATTTTTATTCATAAGACTAAGAAACTAGAATCTAATACTAATTTAAACACATAGCGGAACAAAACACTTTTTAAATATAAAATAAAATTTAAGATTTTTCTAGAATAAAATCTTAATTATGTAGGGTCTTTTCCTATATTATAACATTTTTATGAACATATATTTTATTTTTATAATTTTTTTTAGGAATTACATAGGTTTGAATTAAATACTTTAAGAATTTAATAGATTTAATCAATAGTTAGGAACTAAATAGATTTGAATTTGAACTTAATAAACTCAATCGATAGTTTAGAAACTAAATAAATAATTTGACAATAATTTAGGGGTAGAAAGTGTTATATCCTTTATATTATTTATTGTTTACAATTTTTGTGCATTTTTATCTGTTTCTATAATTTTGCATAGGACCTCAAAAATCTTAGGCCCTACCTTGGCTCCATTTCCCTTGTTTACATTGGTTATTATCCTTTTTCTTTTTCTTTTTTCACCAATTGTTACTCCACCCTCCTCCTCTACCCATATCTCAACTTCGTTTAGTGAAAGTGACGACAGCAGAGTAGTCTGTTATCTTTTCACATTATCATTTATATCGCTCACTTTTTCATCCATACTGAAATCTATTCCCTTTTCAACACATGTCACCACAACCCCTCACCCTTCCCAACATCTTGTTGCCACAATCTCCCTTTCTTACTCGATTATTGCTCGCGCTCCACTTGTCGTAACACATAACCTCCCACATAAGAGGAGTTGGCATACAATGCACTTAGAAATGAAATATATATACATATAAACATCATTCCAAAATTTGAGTATCCGATATAGGATGCGTTTAGAAATAAAAAGAAAAAGTATAAATGTTATTTCTAAAAATGCTATTATAAAATTTTAATCAATGTTGCCTCGGTTCAAAAGATATAATTTTAACAAAAAAAATTATTAAAAAATAAAAACTATTTCAACGTACACAAAAAAAAAATATTATTTTCATTTACTCTATTTTTTGTAAATTTTCTTTTTTTTTTATATAAAAATTCAATTTTTTTAAAAAAAATCACTAAAAAAAAAAACTACTCAAGGGAACCCCAAACAAAATAAATTTTATTTATTTATTTTTGGATGTAATCCAAAAAAGACAAATTGTGAAACTTAAAATCCAGACAACTCCAGATTCCAGAGTGAGTACGCAGTACGCGAATCCCGCATTCACAGAGAGAGAGAGAGAGAGAGAGAGAGAGAGATGGCAGAGAGAGAAGAAAAGGTCGAAAGCACCGAAATTGTTGTGAGCAGTGATGGCGAAGTGCGAAGAAACAGTAATCCCAACCCCATTTTCTCTTTCTTCCAGAAGCTTCAGTTGTTCATATTCCCTCCTCCATTGAAGCGAGACGACGCAAAATCAAAGTCTGTTGTTGTCTCGTCGGAGCAACCAATGAGCACAATCGGTGATGAATCCGTGAAAGAGGAGGTTAAGCCTGTCGCAGTGAAGGTTCCGAACCCTTGCCCCGACATGCCTTCGTTGAAGCTCCAAGCCGACGAATGTGACCAAAACACCAACCCTATTGTTCTCTGGCAGGTACTGACTGTATTATGTAATTCAAACCCTTGTCAATTTTCAAATTGGCTTTTTGATTTTTATTTGTCTCTTACTTGCTGTATATTCATGAATTTGTTGTTTGTTTACTGAGAAATTCATCCAAGTTAGGGGAAAAGATGTGGGTATTTATTTCTTTTATTATAGGGAAAGAAGAAGAAGATAGAAAGAAAGAAAGATACTCTAGGTCATGGATTGAGATTCTTCACTTATTTTTGAGATAGGAAAAAAGATTTGATACCCACAATTTAAGTCCCACAATTCTACTCACAATGACATAGCAAGTTATGTGTCATAACTCCCTTGTGGGTGAATTGTGGGACTTAAATTGTGATCTCTAGCATTTCTGGATAGTTTGGTGAAATTCGGATTCAGATTGGAGTATGCGCAAAACTGGGATAAACTTTGGCTGTTGATTGACAATACTTTGGCCAAACTTGGGTTTGGGCTGGATTCAGAATTTAGTTAAATACGACAAGTAAATTGAATATTCGTTCGAGATTTAGTGAAAGAATCTCAAATTTGGATGAATCATAAGAACCTAAGTCAGTGACAAACAGAAGGGCGAATAATGTTTTGGTTTTATTAGTAGAGGTTACAATAATGTTTCTAAATTTTCCGTTGTTTTGGTCATATTCTCACTGACCAGACTACTATATTAGGAAGAAAATATCAAATATATTAAGTTTTTATTATTGGGATGCTTCTGGAAAGATTTGAGATTAGCTATACTCTCAAGATTTTGATTTTATTGATGTTCAATTGTGTAAGAGAATTTACGGAATCTAAACCACACATTTATATTGTAAAGCTAAGAAGCACGGACACATGACACAACACGGACACAACACAGGCACGTGGACATGGAAATTTTTTTTAAAAAAATGCAAGACACGACGTGCCAGGGACACGTGCAAAAAATATAATTTTATTTATTTACTGTATATCATATTTTTTAATGTTATATATTTATTTTATATCAAATATTTAATCTCGTCAAATTCATCAATTTGGGTATGCTATTCCCGTAAAAATTTATTTAAAAAAAATAATAATAAGACACAAGGTGGACGCATGTCGAACATCGGTATGTGACCCTGTACAGAGGTCAACGCGCTTCATAGTTGTAAAGATTGTACTTAAAATTTTATGCCTTTCTATAATAGCTTCTTGGGGTAGGATATACTTGTTATTTATAGAATGTAACAAAGTGTTTCATTTCACTTGTAAGAAAAAATCTGGGAAAGAAAAATTTAAGGTGAACTATATATTTGTCTTTAAAAGAGTGGCCTCCATCTCATAAAAAAAGGTAGCAATAATAATGATAAGTTGTGCTACTTAAAAAATAAATAAATGAATGAGATGTATGAGAGGGTTGGTGAAGTAGAGTAATAGAAGAATGATACTCAAGATTAGAGACAACAGGTATTTGGTATTGAACAGTGTTACATGGACTCTTCCATGCACCCAATGTCCCCATGTCCACCAAATATTGTAAAGGTAAGGGTGTGGGATATGTGTCTAACCCCTACACTCAAATTAAATACTTGGATTCTCTATTTTCTTATGATGTTTTAAAGAAGTAGAAACTTACATTTGATGGTAAAGAAAAATTCTAACCTCTAACATGGGTGGGGGATGGAAATATATTTTGCCTAAGTCTCATTTAATTTCAAATGCATTCTTAAATAATAGGGCTAATTACGCTAACCTCTTTTGATGGTCTGACAATTATTGAGACTTCCCTTGCGGTTTTGAAATTACACTACCCTCGCCTGTTAGAGTTGTCCCTTAGATGGTGTTAATTGTGAAACTAAAATGACTGAAATAAATTTTGAGAAAGATAAGAATGCCCTCATTAACATAGTGCCAACGCCACATACAATTCCATCTTCACAATGCAACCCCTTCTCTCCAAACCTCTTTTTCTGCCATTGTCACCACCCTTATAAAACCCTCTACAACAGTAGGTCCACCACCCAGTGGTTATATCAACCAGGCATCACTACCCCATGAGCTACCACCATCGAATAACCCTTTCCCGCACAAAAAGGAAAGGTGTCGGTACCAAGTCAAGTCAGCTGTGGACCATCTCGTGAGCTTCCACCATCCAACAACCCCTTCCCTGCCACCCTTGTGAACAACCACCAGTGAACAAATCTTATACCACCACCTTGTGAGCCACCAGATTAAATGCTGCCCAGATGAAGATCTTGATGATAAAAGCAAGCATAGAAGTTTCTAGAATCAGGCCTTCCAAGTAAAAAATTTAAACCAAAATCTCCTAATTTGCAGCAACAAGGTGATGCATTTTCTATACAATTGGAAGTCAATATGAGCATCCATGTTAACCCCCATTGCTGTGTGTTTATAAATACATATATATGTATGTGTGTGTATTAATTTTCAGTAACCCCTGTTGTCCATTGATGTGTTCTTATATATATATTTAGTAAATACATATATATAGTGTATATATATGTGTATTAATGTCTTTACCAATTAAATCTATATACGAATTTCTTCACTAATTGCATCCTCCGTTTAATAGAGGTGGGTTTGTGATTCCAGTGGTTATGTAGACATTTGGATTCAAGCACTGGTTTGATATGTTTTTACATAAAAATTTGTTGAAATGCATTTGTTCAATTTTGAGAATAGTCAGAGATTGGGTGGAATTGAGGCAAGAGAGAGAGAGAGAGAGAGAGAGAGAGAGAGAGAGAGAAGAAGAAGAAGAAGAAGAAGAAGAAGAAGCAGCAGATCGAAGGCGATGGCCATGGCGATTGAAGGCGAGAGCGAAGAGGAGTAGATTGCGAGCAGATCGCGAGGCGATCGCGAGAGCACTACATACTGGAGTCGAAGGTTTGTCTTCTCACTCTCTTCCTTCACACTCTCTCTCCTCTGTCTCTCTCTCCTAGGGTTTTTGTTCTTCACCAACGATCCCATCTTGGCCAGGATCGCGTTTCTCTCGATGGAAACGCGATTCCTACACGTTTCTTAGGACGATTCGTCACCTGGTAGGACGATTCATGCAACTAAGGGTGGGTTTGTGATTCCAGTGGTTATGTAGACATTTGGATTCAAGCACTGGTTTGATATGTTTTTACATAAAAATTTGTTGAAATGCAGTTGTTCAATTTTGAGAATAGTCAGAGATTGGGGTGGAATTGAGGCTGCAGTAAGGGTGGATTGGGGATGGAGTGAAGATCAACAACAAGAATCAACCCTGATTCATCTAAGAATAGTGATATACAGACTGAAAATTTATACAGAGAACTCATAATGATTTGGTTGGGTTTTGAGCCACTGGCACATCATTCTGGTACAAAATTCTGTATAAAATTTTTGGTAGAATTAATTGTGAAGCTACTTGGTCTTTTCAAGCTTTGGCTCAAGGTGATTCTGCCAAGGTTACTGTAGTATCTTTGTGGATGGTGTCAAAAGTTTTTTGTTGGTGGAGTTGCATGAATTAATGAATCTTACATTCTCCTTTCCGTCCTCATTTCTCTCTTTAAATTATCTTGAACTTAGAAGAGAATATTGTTCGCCTCTGATACCAGGACAACAATGTAAAATTCAAGAAAACTCTAGGCTCAATAATTGTTATGTCAGTCAATATCAAACATGGACCAGACATGCATGCAGATTATTTGAACCAACTCTTTTCTTATCCTTCTCCTTATTTTGTTTGTGTTTATTTTTGTTATTATTCATTTTGTTTTGTTTATTTATTTTCGGGGCAATAAAGACAGATTTCTATTTGTATCTGTTTTGGCTGCTTTCAGGTGTATGCCATTGGAGGGTTCTTTATTTTAAGGTGGGCGTTGGCAAGATGGAAAGAGAGGATGGCCAAAAAGAAGTTGGCTGATGAAGAGACGTCTGATGATGAAGAGTCACATGATGAAGTTTCAGCTGATGAGTAGTCCTTGGGTTATAATGGGGGTATACTTACCGTGTGGCATTTTATTCTGCTTCCCAACTCTTTTTGAATGTATACTTCTCCTAGTTTGTGGACTAAGACCACCTTTATTTTGTTGTATATTGGTGGCAGACACTTTTGTTTCAGCTTTGATAGCCTTTGAGCTTTTCAATGGTTTTACAGGTTTGCTTCTCAGCTGATGAATTTGCTTCTGTGTTACATATTTTACAGTTTTGTCAATTAAAAAGGTTAAGGATAGGTTTTCTTGACAAGCCCTAAAAAAACATCAAATTCGGAGGGTAATTTTGGGGATTATGTAATACCTTATATAGGAGTATAATCAAATTTAGAGTATATGATTTGCTATGCACTAATATGTATATATATTTGATTGGCAAAAGTCAGTTGTTAGATTAGCATTTATGAGAATTAGCTTTTGCAAAGGGTCAAGTGTTTGCCTCCTTAATTCAACTCTCTCAAGAGAGAGTTGAACTTAAGACCTCTCCTTATGTTGTGTTTGGTTGGAGGATTTAGGAAGGGATTTGGAAAGGGAAAGGAAAAAGATGTGTGAAACTATGTGAAATTTAGGCATATTTTATTCTCATTTCACCTACCTTTTCCATTTCTCTTTCCAAATCCCTCCTCAAATCCTTCAACCAAACACAGCATTAGGGTTTCCCAAGGAAAGTCATGGTGGCCAACTAAGCTAATGGTGGACAAATAAGCTAGGCCTAGTTGGTTTTGCTATGCACTAATATAATACCTTATTTTCACTTGAATAAAAAAGAAAATATGATTTGTCTAAAACAGTACACAATGTGATTAGATATGCCCTTAACCTGGAGCTTATGTACAAAAGAAAAACAAAATTTTATGGAAGGTAGGTACTTTCATAAATTATAGTTGAAACTGTTGGTCATTAACTTTCTCTGGAGATAAATGGCATAGGTGAGAGGATTTCCTGGATTGAATTGAGATCATAAGATTAAATACTTACTGAAAATTAAGGTAAAGAAAACACGTCTAAAGATCCTACATGATCTCATATGATCCTACTTGCGATCCTACATTTGAGTCTCATTTTGCAATGTTAGCGTAGCTGCAGTCGAGGACTCCATGGTGGGAGCAATTTCTTTAGCTTTTCTTTGTACTATTTCTTTTGCCTGTTATTAGCATTTGTAAACATCTCAGAACTCCGTTAATGAGATAAAATCCTAATGACAAATAATCATATTGAAAATCTAAGTAAAAGTTCATTTTATTTTGCATTTACACAGAATCTATTTTATTAAAATACTAATGTTTTCCATCAAAGAAACAACCTTCTTTCATATTCAAATTTTTTTATGAGTGAAATAATTTGTTTTTTCCCCACAAAAGTTCAAATCTCGTTGTTTCTTCATCAAGTTTTGATCACTAGTGGTGAACCTTCAAAAAAGATATTGGAACCCAGATTTCGGTATCCAAAATGCAAGCCATCTTCTGAGACCTATGCACCAAACAGTCCTGTCTAGGATTATCTGATTGGGAAATACAACGTTCAATGGCCTTGCTAAAGCGGCTATGTACATTATATATGGAAGAGAAAAAGAAATGCTAGATAGTACCTGAATGATTATAGAGGGCATTAGAACTATATCGCGAGAAATTGATCAAAGTTCAGGTCAGAGGTAGATAGAATGTACTCTCTTGGAGGCATAAAAGAGAATCGATCAAATATAATTGCTTTGATTGCGGCTGATGTGGTTGGGTTCTAAGTGTCTTGTCTATATGTAAACCAAATACGTTTAAAATCTTGCAAAATATAAAAGAAAATAAAGCGAAGAGGTTCTCCTCTTTGTGCTGGACGGAATTCCTCCTCTTGGACGGTGAGAAAAATAAGAGAGAACAATGAAGAGAAAGCGAGAGGAAAGAAGGAGAAGAGAGACTTAATTCAAGGTTATGAATTGTGATTTTGGATTATATTATTGTAATTAATCGGAAACGAAATTCTTTAAATCTTTTAGTATTAAGAATTGGTAATATTTGAGCTTGTTTATGTTAGAAAGATGTGAAAGAAACCCTTACTTCAATGGGATAAATCTTGGTAGAATGTTTGAATTGAAGGTATATGTGAAAAGTTAAGCATATGATAATAAGTCTAAGAATGCCAAGAATGAGAAGAAAATTCCTTCGAAATTCACTTGGTAATAGAACAAGTTTTTCCTTCCCTCGAGTGAACCATCAAACAAATGCTTTAGGCGTTGAACCATAGTTTGAGCATCCTTTGATCAACCGTCTGGCAATAGCTTCTAGTAGTGACTGATGTTAGGCACGACGAGTATCCCGCTTGATTGACTGAGGTTGCTCTAGCTCTACCTTGCACTGACTTCTTAAAGTGACTGAGGTTGGGTACAATGAGTATCCCACTTTTCTGATTACATATCACAAGCTTTTGGCTTTACATAATCGAGACAAGGTAACACCTGATGTAGTTGTTGCCAAAGATAGGAGTGGGAAGTACAAGCTGATTTCTGCCACTATTATTGTTATTCCGAAAAATCAACAAGGCAGATGGATCATCTATGTCAAGGTTAGAGTCTACAATGATCTATCTGCCTTGTTGCGTTTTTGGGATTACCACGATAGTAGTATAAATTGTCTAGTATTGCATACTCTTGTCTTTGGCAACGACTGCATTAGTTGTTACCCTGCCTCGATTGTGCAAAGCCAGAAGCGTGCGGTCTGCAACTGGAAACCAAGTGGGATACCCATCTTCATGCCCAACCTCAGTTGCATCAAAAAGTCGGCATAAATTTTGGATCTTTTGGGGGAACATCTTTGTCACTACAAATCTAAAACAACAATCAATAGGGCAACAACCTTGACACTGCAATTGTTTCTTAAATACTCAGATAAACCACTGATCCATTTCGGTTATGTTTTCTTCTGTATTTTAGGGGTCAATATTGAATACTTCGAATAAGTAAAATTTATTTTGTGGTAATGAAGTCAGTGTTTTGGGGGATTGTTAAGTTAGTCTCAATAGACTAAAAATTAGGAGTTAATGAGGAGTGGACTGTTGAAGCATTTGTACTTTATAATGGTTTAATCATAATATTATTGTCAGTTTTTTTTTTTTTTTTCATTAAAATGTGATAATTTTTTTGTGTTAAATATTAACAATATATACTCTTAAATTATATTAAAGTTAAACTATAATCAATCTATTGAAGTATGTTATTCATTTATTTCATTCAAAACCCTGAAATATTTTTCAATTACAAAAGGTAACTAAACAAGTATAAATCAATTTAGTTATTTAAAATACAAATGAAATTTAAATTATCTTGCACATACTTATGTATCAATTGCAATTTTTTTCTAACTCCTTGAAAAAGAAGTAAGCATTAACTCATAGAACATGTACGCTATGATTCGATTGGGATGCCATTCAAGCACAAGACTTTTCTCTTGGGGTTGTGTGAATGTTTAATTAAGGGTCAGGCTCATAACCTATCCAAACTTGATATTTTTCTACAAAAAAATCCTAAACCCAAGTCCAATCCGAGTTCAATTTATAGATTTATTGAATTTTGAGTAGAGTTGAGTTGAGTTGTTTTTAAACAAAAAGTTGGTTGGGCGGTTCATTATTGATCACGTAACTAAATTTAACATTGGACATAGAGAGAGTGCTCTTTAACATCATTTATAATTTCACGTATCTGTTAGCAAAAATTTTGTTAAGGTCAATCGACAGACAAAACTTAGTTTTTACAAAATAATAATAGATTAAGCTTGTGGTTGAATTTTATGTCTTAAACAGATTAATGACTTCTTTGGAGGGAAATAAATGAAGAGAAATATAGAAAAAGAGAACTCAACTGGTATTAAACTGATAAAATTATGACTTGTTATAAGTTACATAAACTTAAACAAGAATAAAAAAAAAAGCATTAAAATCACTAATCGACAGAGAGTAATAGTAATAAGATATAGCTGGAGATATTGCCGGACTACTTCTAGATGCTAAGTGACTACTCCTAGATAGAAACTACTCATAGAATTCACGGTTGTATGAGTTGAGTTGTGTGTCTTGCTTGTATCTCTCTTGGCTTATTTATAGGCTCTACCACATGAGAGAGAGAGAGAGAGAGAGAGATCTTGGCTTATTTATAGGCTCTACCACATGAGAGAGAGAGAGAGAGAGAGAGAGGTGATCTAAACCCATGATTTCCCCAATAGGTAACTACAGATTTGGTGCTTTTACCTGGTCTTGATTCTAGAACCTGACTTTCAAATGGCTACAACAGCTAACTCTTTTGACTCTTCATTTAACATGTCATCATGTCACGTCATTAATACACCTGTCATGCCATGTCAGCATGTCTGTTAACATGGATAATAATAATAGCAAATGTAGCCAACGTTATTTTTTAAAAATAGTCTATGGTCTCATTCAACAGACTATAATTGAACTTTGCCATAATCAACAAACCACAATCGATAGAAAAGTAAATTATGAAGTCAACAATATCATATTGTCTTCCATCCTTTTCATTTCTTATGTTGCTCTCAACATTACATATAATTACATGTTAGCAAACAAACGATAGGTTTTTGCATCAAGAATAATTTGTCGCACCGATGCCACTGCTCCGACCAAGGATAACACTGTGGAGATCGCTGCGATGAATGTGTTTCCCCAAAATATTATGCTTTTCTTGGAGGGTTTGAATGTCACATTGTAGAAAATCATAGGTAGAATGAAATCTAAAGGAATGCATCCGAATGCCCCGAATAACGCCATGATGTCACCGAAGAAAGGTAACATGGCGGCCAAAAGCGTGGCAATGACAATGGACAATGACCTAAAAATCAACCGTGGCATGACATTGCGAATGGAGAATTGATCCTTCTTTGGATCTGCAAACTTGCGCTCGATCACTACGTTTGTTGGTTGCAAGTACGTCTGTATTTTTTTTATTGGCAAAAAAAATAAAAATAAATTATTAACTCAAAACTATGAAATATATTGAGACAATAAGGATGAAGGAGAAAAAAAAAATTCAAAGGCAGAACGAATATCCCAACTAATATAGTTTTTATTGACCATGCACTTAGTGGAAACAACATGCATATATATATATGGGAAATTTTATTATGCATATTCTGTGAAAGCGGTGTACCATATGAACTCCTAATTATGTTATTTTATTTTTTAG